GGGAAGGCTAGTCTGCGCGCGGTGTAGCGCTGCGCGGGCGCGGGGCGGGCGCGCGGAGCGGAGCGCTCAGTGGTGGACGGGCAGGGCACGGGCGCGGATCGAGAGTGGCGCGGTACGCAGCAGCGCAGCAGCGGTACGGCTCGCGGCGCGGACACGAGCGCACGGCGCACAGGACACGGCAACACGGTGGTGGTGGTGCGGGTGCGCGCGCGGGGTGACAGTGCTGTGCGACCTGGTGGTGATGGTGATGTCGACGACGTGCTGGTGCGAGTGAGAGAGCGCAACGCCGCGGCCGACATGGAGCGAGTGACAGCCGGGCCGCGATGACGTGAGGATCTGCAAGAGGAGGAGGAGGAGGAGGAGGATCAGAAGCACCACGGCGACGCCGACGGCCACCACCACGAGGACGCATCGCGCCGACGACGGGCGACTATGGTGAGTGAAGTGCGAGGGTCGGCGACCTGGCCGCGGACCGCGCCGGACACGTGCGCGACGCGTGTCAACAACAGCGGCGCCCCGAGGCCACGACGCCATCCTGGTCCTCCTCGACCGGGACGCCGGGGATGCCCGCGGCGGCGGGGCGCGCGCGCGAAGGGCGGCAGCTCCCCGCGGGGCCTTGGGGGGGCCGGCCGGGCCGGGCCTTCGATCGAGTCCCGAGCCGCCCTTCCTCAGAACCGAACAGAAACGGGACGTCGTCTAACGGGGCGGGTTTCCCCCTATGCCCCCTCCGCAGCCGCCGCGCCGCCCCGCCCCGCAGAGAATGTTGCAGCAATATGGTGTGGGGGTGCGGGCGGGGGCCGGGGGCCGGGGCCGGGGCGGTCGCCGCCATATGTGACACCAGGCTGACACGCTGACAGCCCGCCCGGCCAGGCCGGCGCGGCCTGCGACTGACCGGCCGCCCCGTACCGCCTGGAGGAGTTAGGGAGGCTGCTGTGGACCGGGGGGCCGCCGAGGGGGACCGCTGGACGACGCGGGCGGCGCCACCGCGGGCGCGTTTGGCCCGCGCCACGACGAGGAGGTCCTGCTCGCTGTTTCGTAGCACTCACGAGGCACTCGTTCGCGTCCGCGTCCCGCCTCCCTTATTCGAAGTGAGCTGTCATTTTAGGGCGGGCCTGGGGGTGCTGGTTCTGAGATGCCTCGGTGTGTTTGTGTGCGCATGTGAGTGTAAGTGCGTGGTGTACCCGAGTGTACCGGACCGGCGGCGGGCAGCCTCTCTGCGCCCGCGTCCCGTGCCCGCAGTCGGGCAGTGAACTCTCGCTCCGTGTAAGGACGCGGCGCCGATCGAGTTTGTGTTGGAGCAGCAGCGTCTTCTCCCCTGGCCCCTGTACCGGGAGGAGCGCTGTGGTTCATGCAGTGTGGCCGTCTAGCGGTGACGCCGCGGGCGTGGGGTTCGCCTGTCGCCGCACTGACCACGTGGCACCTCACCTGACCCCCCTCTAACCACCTCCCCTGCTGTCACTCCACTGCCTCTCTCCAGAGATG